CAATCACCAGTCCCTGCCTCAGTCTCCCTGCACTCATTTTCCCACCTGTAAATGCAGTCTGGCCCCAGCACCAGTGATGAGGAGTCTGACATCATGATGCGTCCAAGGCCACAGGAGACCAAGTAGAACTAAGGTTTCCCTCACTGGATTACCTGCTCATTTCACACTTCATCACGTGAAAGCATGCCTCATCAGCTCCCAAGCGCTGTCTGTACAAGCATACCAGATTTCTGAGATCCATTCATGTTTCCATCTCACAACTCAGAACAAGTGAATTCTTCCTTCTTTTATACCGATAATAAGTCAACATAGTCACTGAAGTGGAAAGGCAATTGCATCCCATTGGACTGTATTTCTGAAGTCCTTGTTTATCTGCCTAGGTCCTCTCCCAAACTGTGTATGCCTTAAAATCCTCCCTAGTAGCCTTTCTAATTTCATATTACCTCACTTCACAATGCCTTTTCCACTCAGCAGCCAAAATGATCTCTTGGTCACCCTTGTCTATGTAGCTCTAATCACCATATAGTACCCAGCATTAACCAAGCACTCAGTAGATGGTTCATGAATGAGTAGATGAGTGAATGAACAAAAGAAGCCACAAATGAATGAATGCAAAATTTTATAATATGTATAAATGATTTTATCATAAATAATACTGTATACATGCATATACTAAAGATATTATAGTCTATACATCAATATTATTTCATGTGAAGTATATTAGAAAACATTAGAATATAATAAAGATCCTATGATATATTATATACAAGCATAATAAATACAAAGATAAAATATGTTAGCTGTCTAACAACAGATAATAACCCTATGAAAACAGAAAAAGTAAAAGTCTAGGGACCAGTAGATGGCATAGTGGTTTTGTTACTGGACTCCCACATAGTCAACTGCAGTTCAAGTCCTAGATCCAGCAGCTTAAAACTCCCACCAGGTGTGTGTCCATGCCCAAAATCCCGAGAGAAGAATGGAGGAGAAGAGACTGCAGCAAGGCCATCTCCCCTGGGCGGTGATTTCTCGCTTTCTGTCTCTCTGTCTCTCCAGCAAGCACACATGCCCTATAGCAAAAATCTCTCTCTCTAAAAAATAAAAAATAAATTTATTTTTAGCTAAGAGCAAAATATTATTACTCTTGCATTACTCTTGCAGTGTATAGACTGTACACATAAAACCACCTGATCCCATCACTAACTAGAAAAAGAAATCTTTTTTCATTCTTTTCAATTTCCTGACTTGCTTTCACAGGATCATTCATAAAGGAGAAAATAACCAATAAAGCCAAAGTTAATGGGAAAAAAAATACATGTTTATATATTTTGTGCTATTATCTGTCAATCAAAGGAGTTGAAGATAATTAGAAATCAGCCGCTTAAAGCAACCATGTTTTTGGATCAAGAGCCACTTCTGGACTGGCGGATTTCCACTGGTTTGCCCAAATTCTGCTTGGTTGCATTGGTCTGACAGGCTAAGAACATGACCAGCTGGTTTCCAGAGCAATATGCTTCCTGGTCTGAGGAAGGCCTGTGAGACATGTCATAAAACAGCTGCCTCTATCTCCCCAACCAGCCAAAAATAAACTGAACAGAACAAAACCTTGAATTAAAAAAAAACCTCGACTTTTCATGCAAGGACAAAAGGCAGTTATTAAGCATACCAGGAAGGTTCTTTTATAGCTGGTAATTACATATAAATTGGGGACATATAATAAGAAAAAAATCATTTCCCTTTTCATTTACTTAAAAACGTGATTTCTGTAGTTATATAATTACTGGTATTTTTCAGTTACATTATTAGGAATAAATGGACTACTGTTTCTGAAATTATCATCAAGATAAAAATACTGAAACTTCTTTATTAGAACTGGTTGTCGAGAAGGTAGAAAGAGAAAATGGTCCATTTTCCTAAACCAGAAAACTGAACTTTTTTCTATGACAAAAAGGATCAATCTGCCATTTTTCACCTTTTAAAAAAGGAATTCCTCCTATTTCCTACATATTCTTACAAGTCCTCTATCTTGCTTAAATCCTTCCTTTAAACTTCTTGATCTTTAATCATCACAAGTGATCTGTAATAAAGACCCTTAGGAATTAGGCCTCCACTATTTTATGCTTCCTCACTCACAAGGCAGCAAAGGACAAAATAGGAAGCAAATGCCAGTTTTTTTCTTTTTATGCTACTTTGAGGGCTTCAGCACAGTCACAGTCAACAAAAGTATAAAGTATGTCATTTGTTTTCCCACATCTGTCTACATTTTCTTCCTCTGCCTTGTACCCTTTTCTTGGATAGCCCCACAGAAAAGCCTGAACCTGAACCCTAGGTATGCACATTATCTGTACCAACTGAAGCCTTCTTCCCTCCCTCCCACAAGCCAGTAGTCCCACGTTCCATTCCCAGCTACGCACCCCAGCTATGTGTTCCAGACCCAGCCACTAGGTAACTGGTGGGAGTAATCAGCTAAAACAAGATAAACAAATTGCTGCTAATGTCCATTATTGTGTTCTTTGCTCCTATTCCCTCCTCCCCACCTAAAGACATCATGCATTATTAACCTGTTCACAGTTCACAAGTCTGCAGAAGGCCCTTGGGGAAAATACCAGTGTTAAGGGGTGTCAGACTGTATAGCTGAAGAAGAGAAAAATATTTTTATAGGCTGACCTTTCAGCTCTTCTCAAATCATAATACACAGGCATCAAAGCTATGCCAAGGCATAAAGCTGACATGGCCTGTAATTGTCATTATCTCAAAAGTTTGCAGCTGAGGAAAGGAAAAATCTCCCTCTGGAAAACCCTGGTTCCAGGCCATTTCTCAAAGCAGCATCAGAATACAGCAGTCAAGGCCTCACCTCAGTGGCACAAGCAGTGGGGACGTTACTGCTCAGTGCCGCTGCAGACCATGTGGGAAGGCTTTTGGTTTGTGTCCAGGTCTGCCTCGCATGCCTGTCACATGGATGAGCTCACCAGTGTTGCCAGCTAGAGGGCACAGAAAAGGATAGCATCTTAAAGATCATGTTCACAGTACCTGTCTTTCTTTCTCATTAAGAAAATAAATTAACTTTTGGGGACCAGCAGTTGGTGTAATGGTTACGTCACTGGATTTCCACATAGTCAACTGTGGTTCAAGTCCCAGACCCAGTAGATTGAAACTCACACCGGGCACATATGCGTGCATGCCCAAAATCCCAGAGAGGAGAATGGAAGAAAAAGGATTGCTGTGTGACCATCCCCCCAGGGAGTGATTTCTCGCTTTCTGTCTCTCTGGTGAGTGCACACTCCCTATAGCAAAAATCTCTCAAAAAAAGATAAATAAATTCAGTTTTATAAAAATTAAAGCAGCCAAGTCAAAGTGGTTGGGGCACTGAACTCCCACATGTTCAACCGCAGTTGGAGTCCCAGACTGGGCAGCTTGCTTTCTCACTCTCTGTCTCTCTGGTGAGTGCATATGCCCTGTAGCAAATTAAATAATAAATAAAGTTAATTTTTTTTTTTAACTGGAGCAGACAAAGTTTCAGCTGTATTGGGAATTTAGCCATAGCCATTCCCAGAGTAAATATGAGTGAACTGAGTGATGCAACTAGCTTCAGAGACCTGAAACTTAAAAGGTTACATGAGAGCCAGCAGGTGGCATGATGTTGGGGTGCTGGACTCCCACACAGCCAACTGCGGTTCGAGTCCCAAATCTGGCAACTTGCTTTCTCATTTTTCTCTTTCTCTCTCTCTCTGGTCAAATTTTAAAAAATAATAACAACAATAAATAAAATTAAATAAATAATTCTTTTTTTTAAAAAAAAAAAAAGGACCAACAGCATAATGCTATGTCGCTGGACTCCCATGAAGTGGATCACAGTTCAAGTGCCAGATCCGGTGGCTTAAACTCACACCAGGCACATGTGCATGCATGCCCAAGATCCCGAGAGGAGAATGGAGGAGAAGGGATTGCGGCGTGACCATCCCCCCTGGGGGGTGATTTCTCGCTTTCTGTCTCTATGTCTCTCTCTGTCTTTCTGGTGAGTGCACACATCCTATAGCAAAGACCTCTCCCAAAAAAATAATAATAATAGCATGAAGAAATAAACTCAGGGTCGGGGCCAGCAGGTGGCGTGGAGGTTATGGGCACTAGACTCTCACATGGCCCACCACATTTAGAGTCCCAGACCTGGTGGCTTGCTTTCTCACTTTCCTTCTTTCTTTCCTTCTTTCTTTCTTTCTTTCTTTCTTTCTTTCTTTCTTTCTTTCTCTCTCTCTGTTTCTCTCTGGTAAAATTAAAACAAGTAAATAAATAAATTTTAAAAGCTAAATAAAATAATTCTTTAAAAAAAAAAGAAAGAAAGAAAGAAACGCAGTCAGGCAGTTGTGCAGTGGTAATGCGACTGAACCCACATAGGCAAGTCTTGGGTTCTCCCTGAGCACACGAGGCACATGTACACCTGTGATCTGGGTCAGCTTAGACTTGGGGTGGACTTTGACATAAGGACCCTATGAGGGTGTCAATCTCTCTCTCTCTGAAGAAATAAACTAAAAGAAAAAAAGAAAACAAATTTGCAGAAGGAATTGTAGGATTAGAAAACTACTACAAGTTTGGCACCTTTAATGAAGGAATGGATCTAAGCATGTCCCATCAATACCTACCAAAACAATTAGTTGGAAAGATGATGATCACACCTGAATCCAATAATCAAACCCTGGGGTTTTTTTGTTGTTTTGTTTTGTTTTGTTTTTCAATTTATGATAGAGCTCATGTGCATGCACTGGAGAGTAAGAGCGATGAGCATCCTCCACAGGATCTGGTCACGTCATGGTCCCTTCCTCCAGTCCTGCAGCCCAGCATATCCTGTGCACTCATTCAGGTGCTTAGTGTGTTTCAGGCTAACTGGGCTGAGGATTTGAACTACGATCATCATGGGAGATCTGGCTTCTCTCTCTTATTTTTCTTTTTTAATTGCCACAGGGTATGTGCATTTGCCAGAGACAGATTGGTGATGATGGGGGGGGGGAGATATAGAACCCTTCATAAATTTGCATATCATCCTTGCACAGAGCCAGGCTAATCTTCTCTGTATCATTCCAATTTCAGCACATGTACTGCTGAAGTAAGCAAGGACCTGGCTACTCTTGAGCAGCACATTACCACTGTGCCACAGAATCACCCCCAGTAATCAATCTTAATCACCTTTTAAAGTTGGGCATGCACACATTATATGCCTCTTGAGGTGACACAGTATAAAATATGCAGCACCACCTATGAGATAGTCTTGTTCCCTCAACCTTATAAAGAAAACTAAACCTTAACCTAATCAAATTTCTAGTGATAACCATCAGTTTATAGAAAATATGAGGAGTCAAAGAACACGTTTAACAATACCATAAGAAAACAATCAGGCAGATTCAGAATATGGGAAGTTATAAAGAACAAATGACCTAGTATTTTCAACAAATGGGAGAGAGTAGGAGAGCTACGAGGAAGAGGAAAAAAAAAAAAAACTTCAGAAACATAAACCAACACAATGAGTGGATCTAGTTTAGATCCCAATTGAACCAAATTCAAGTGTTAAAAAAAAATTTTTTTAAGGACTAGCCCTGTGGTCAGGTGGTTAAGGAAGTCAGATCTGACATGGCCCACTAAGGGTTTGAATCCCTGCCCCAGCGGCTTGAGGAATATGACAGCTTAAGTGTGTGTGCATCCAAAATCTCAATAGAATGGAGTAATGGAGAAGGAATTGTGGTATGACTATGCTCCATAAGGGATTGCTTTTATCCTCACCCTCTCTCTGTCTCTTTCTCTCTCTAGTGAGTACATATGCTCTCTGAACAAAAAACAAATAGGTTTTTTTTGTTTGTTTTCGTTTTGTTTTGGTTTTGGTTTTGAGAGGTTTTGAGAGGTTTTTGCTATAGGGCGCGTGCGCTCGCCAGACAGACAGAGAGAGACAGAGACACAGAAAGCAAGAAATCACCCCCCAGGGGGATGGACACACCACAATCCCTTCTCCTCCATTCTCCTCTCGGGATCTTGGGCATGCACGCACATGTGCCCAGCATGAGTTTAAGCCACCAGGTCCAGGACGCGAACCGCGGTCGACTATGTGGGAGTCCAGCGACATAGCCATTACGCTAACTGCTGGTCCCAACAAATATGTTTTAAGATAACTGGAGACATTTCAACATGGACTGAACATTAGATGACATTAGGGAATAACTATCAGATGTACAATGTTAACAGATAAATGTAAACAATGCTTGGAATTTACTCTAAAATGCTTAAGCAAAAGCAAGTGAAACGAGATTGGCAAGACATTAAGAGGCTTATCTAATCTACTTTGGGAAATTTGAGAAAAATTTTATATTACAATGTTTTTGGTTTTAATTCTGTTTTGTTCTGTTTCACAAAGGTTACAAAACAACCTTAATAACTTTATTAGATAGTCATATCCCTCACTGCACATTTTTAAAGGCTCAATTTAAAACAGAAGATCCAGGGGACCAGCAGTTAGTGTAATGGCTATGTCGCTGGACGCCCACATAGTTGACCACGGTTTGCATCCTGGACCCGGTGGCTTAAACTCACACCGGGCGCATGTGCTTGCGTGCCCAAGATCCCGAAATAAATAAATAAATAAATAAATAAAATAAAACAGAAGATCCAGCTAATCAAAACAGGAGATGGTTTTTTGCAAACCATGAGAAGGTGTCAGGAGCTGGCAGCACCAAGCTGAGTATGCAGGGTTGTGTGAAATCTTGGGACCTTCCACAACTGGCTTGACAAAACAATGTTCCAAAGTTCCTCAGCCCAAACATAGCCCTGCTGGCTGGTTTCCCACTCTTTGCTGCCAGCTGGCTCTAAAGGTCTAAGAGCCTGTGCCCCTGGCTCCCAAGAGCAGAGGGCAGGAGAAAAGAGGCAGCTCTACTTGCAGATGGAGCCAACCATCTCTGAGCCAGCTGTCCTTCTCCTCCTGTGGCTCCATGCAGAGAGGCCCAGAGGGCTGATGGCAAACCTCTCCCTGGCCCACCATCCTAGGGACATTCACTATCATGGAACCAGAGGCCTGGGATCCAGTAACTCTCTGCCCAGCAGTGAACAATCCCACTGGACTGGGCAGGTTTATCAAGCTATTTTATCTGTGGAAAATAATGTAAACTGGGAAAATGTGTGGCCTGAGTACTAGGTATATTAAGAAATCTTTCATTTTGTTTGATGTGATAGTATGGGTCTATGGAGGAAGAAGATATCCTTGATGCACACTAAGGGACAATATTTGATGATAATTATAATACACTTTAAAACACTTCCACAAAGAAAAATAGATGAATATTAACAATCAGTAAATAAAGGCCAAAATATTGGACTTAATAAAGTAGAAATTAAAAAGGGCATGTAGTGCTTTTGAGAATATGCATAAAACTAGCACAATTTCCTTTGTATTTTGCATATTATTTTCCAGTTTTTATACATATAAATACATGTTCTTAAGTAACCGTAATCATAGTTGGAGACAGTCATCTGTATTCAACTTTTCTCATTTAATATTTTCCTTTTTCCACTGTTTTATCTTAATCATTATTGTAACATTACTTCATATATGCCATAATATTGACACTCCCTAAATAATCCTACCTTGAATATTTTGAATATTAAAAGTTGCTTTCCTCCCTTCTTTTGCCATATGATGTAACAACACATATGAAAAATCACGAGCCTGTGACTTTATGCTTTTGTTAAATTGATTCTCTAGAATAAGTTCCAAAAGACATGAAAACTAAACATAAATATATTTTTTTAATTTTCATTTGTATATCTTCCTGGAAAAAAAAAATTTAGGTTTCGTCATAGTGAGCACATGCTCACTGGAGAGAGAGAAAAGGAAAGTGAGAAGTCACTCCCTAAAGTGGAATGGCCATACTGAAATCTTTTCTCCATTCTCCCCTCAAGATTTTGAGCATGCACACACATCCACTCAGCATGATTTTCAAGGACCAAGTCCAGGACTTGAACATGGTCAACCATGTGGGAGCACAGTGCCTTAACCACCATGCCACCTGCTGTCTCCACCCTGGCAAAAATTTTTCCACCTTGATAGCCAAATGGCTTTAATGACAACAGCAAAATGTTCTTGTATCAATTTCAGAACATATTTAGCATTGTCTTATATTTTTATTTAGTTTCCACATATAAGGATGTTTTAATGTGCATATCTTTGATTTCTATGAGAAAAAATATGTTTGCACATATTTGTTAACCAGCAACTTGCCTGATTCCTATCATTTGCAATTTATCTACTAGAATCATAAAGGTTTCTCATAATTTATTTTTAATTGCCAAAAGGCACATATGCTTGCCAGAGAGAGACAGAGAAAGAGAGGGAGAGGAAGAAAGCACATCCCACTGAGTTGTGGTCATGCTGTAATTCCTTCTCCTCCATTTCTCCATCCTGTTAGGATTTGGGGCATGCACACACACGGTCCTGGCATGTTTCTCAAGCCACTAGAGCCAAGATTTGAACTGTAGTCAAGCCTGTGTGATCTGATTTCCTGAACCCCTGCCCTACAGAGCTAGCCTTCTCATACACTTTAATGGCCTATTTATACATTGTCATTACCTTCTGTTACTGGCAAGTTAATATTTTTCCCTCTGCTATAACTGTCATCTTTATTTTAGTTTAGGTTTTTTTTTTTTTGGTGGGGTCATAAGTTTTTATTGTTTATGTATTCGACTGTATTGGTCTTCTTCCTTTCTTCTGTAAGCTATATTTCTCAACAAAACACAACACTTCTAAGATCATCTTGACCCAAAGTGTATTTGCCAATAGTGATCAACACAGCGCAGAACTACTGAAAATGCTGTACCTGTCCTTCCGTTAATACGCTAGACCCCTTACTCTTTCTCACAGCTCTCTACACAGTCACAACATCTTATCAGTGTTTTCCTAAATATTTAACTCTGTCCTCTCTTGTCCATCCCTATCACCTCTGTGTCTCATCATCCCTCACCAAAATTGCTGAATGTAACTATCTCCTAACTGGTCTTTCTGACTCCAAAACTGTCCTCTTGCAGTGTAAAACATGCCTACCAGTGCCAGCTTAAACCTTCAGAGGCCCTCCCTTTATGGCCTCCCACAACTCACCAGACCACAAAAACAATTAGCCTAGTGCTTTGAATCGGTACCTGAGCTAAGCATTTGGCAGACATTACTTTGACTAATTCTACCAAAAACCCAGTAAGTACAATGCTATTGTTTTCCCATTTACAGAGGAGTCTACTGAGGCATGTAGCTGTTAAGTGATTTCACCAAGTTCTCAGAGCTAGAAAGATAAAGAGCCAAGATGCAAATATGGCTCTGCCTAACTCCGAAGCCCATGTACCCTTTTAACTACTTCCCGACACTTCCCCACAGAGGGACCCTCATCTCTCAGCAGTATGGCCTGCCTGCCAGCCACTCTACTCTCAGCAGTCCTGCCCAGCCTGGAATTCCTCACATACAGTCATGCCGCCTCTGCACTCAGTCACTTGCTAACCTACAAATGTCCTTTCCACCTTGATGACTCTTACCCATCTTTTAAGACTCAGCTGGGGCATGCTGTCCTCCAGGAAGCCTTTCCCTATGTAACTTTCCCCCTGCCCTCAGCCCATTCTCCCTGAGGATGAACCCTTCTCTGTGCTCGTCTCCATCACTCACCCACCACACTGTGGTATCAATTTCTGTTCCCATTTGCCTCTAGGCTGTGAGCACCTTGACAGTCTTACTCATACCTATGTCCCAGCCAGTGCAGTGCCTGACATGTAGAGAACTTGGAAAAACATTTACTCAATTAATTCTCAAATATTTGTTGAATCCCCATTATGTCCAAAGTATTATGCCAAGGGTATCTTTTTATTGTTGTTTTTGTTTTGTTTGCTAGTGGGCACACGTGCTCACCAGAGAGTCAGAGAGAAAGGGAGAGAAGAAAGTAAACCCTATGGGGAAAGGGTCACACTGCAATCCCTACTCTGTTATCTTTCCCTCCTTTTGGTATTTTGAGCACACACTCACGGGTGCTTGGTGTGTTTCTCAAGTTGCCAGTTTCAGGACTTTGACCATGTGGTCAGCTGTGTGAGATCTTGG